CATTATAGGGAAGGAAACAAAAATATGAGACAGTGGGTGGTGCTGTGTGCCAGGAAATATTTCAAGCTCTTGGACTTTTGGAAGATTGAGGCAGGGAATGGTTAGAGTAGTGTTTCTCAACCTTCCGAATGCCGCGACCCCTTAATACAGCTCCTCATGTTGTGGTGACCCCCAACCATAACATTATTTTCATAGCTACTTCATAACTAACATGTTACTAACAGGAGCGTGACGCAGGGAGCATACAACGCCCTTGCTGTTCCAGCTCCACTGGCTGCCGATTTGCTACCGGGCCCAATTTAAGGTGCTGGTGTTATCCTACAAAGCCCTAAACGGTTCCGGCCCAAAATACCTTTCGGACCGCATCTTGGCCTATGAGCCCACGAGGACCTTGAGATCGTCTGGGGAGGCCCTTCTCTCGATCCCGCCTGCTTCACAGGCACGTCTGGCGGGGACGAGAGAAAGGGCCTTCTCGGTGGTGGCCCCCCGGCTGTGGAACGACCTCCCTGCTGACATCAGACAGGCGCCCTCCCTTCTGTCCTTCCGTAAGAGCCTGAAGACCTGGCTATTTGAGAAGGCATTCAACTGAGCGCTACGGCAACTGGTAATTGACAACTGGAACGGAATACGGATTACGGTATTGGTTATGATTCTATGATGTGACGGAGCGGATTATTTAGTGTAACTTAGATTATAGTGTATTATTGTTGTATTGATTTCCTGTTTTGCCCTTTTGTAAACTGTTTTTATATGTTGTGCACCGCCGCGAGTCGCCCTAGGGCTGAGAGCGGCGGTCAATAAATGCAGTAAATAAATAAATAAATAAATAAATAAATAAATAAATAACTGGAATCTTGCTCCTATTATTAATCGTAATGTAAATATCTGATATGCAGGATGTGTTTTCTTTCACTAGACCGAATTTGGCACAAATACCCAACGCCCAAATTTGAATACTGGTGGGGTTGAGGAGGATTAATTTTGTCATTTGGGACAAAATCTGGGATTTATAGTTCACCTACAATCAAAGATCATTCTGAACTCCACCAACAATGGAATTGAACCAATCTTGGCACACAGAACTCCCATGCCCAACAGAAAATATTGGAAGGATTTGGTGGGCACTGAACTTGAGTTTTGGAGTTGTAGTTCACTGTGGACTCAAACAATGTTGGATCTGGACCAAACTTGGCATGAATACTCAATATGCCCAAATGTGAACACTGGTTGAGTTTGATGAAAATAGACATTGACATTTGAGAGTTGCTGAGATTTCTAGTTCTCCTACAATCAAAGAGCAGTCTGAACTCCATCAATGATGGAATTGAAACATCTGTGTGGGAAGTTTGTCCCAATTCTATCGTTGGTGGGGTTCCGAATGCTCTTTGATTGTAGGTGAACTATAAATCCCAGCAATTACAACTCCCAAATGACAAAATCAATCCTCCCCAACCCCACCAGTATTCAAATTTGGGTGTATCAGGTATTTGTGCCAAATTTGGTCCAGTGAATGAAAAGACATCCTTTATATCAGATATTTACATTACGATTCATAACAGTAGCAAAATGACAGTTACGAAGTAGCAACAAAAATAACGTTATGGTTGGGGGTCACCACAACATGAGGGACTGTATTAAGGGATCACGGCATTAGGAAGATTTAGAAACACTCAGAGGCGGCCCTAGGTAATTTTCAATGGTAAGCAAACAGTATTTTGATGCTCCCTCCCCCAAACAATCACCGATATATATTTTCTGTTCGTCGTGGGAGTTCTGTGTGCCATTTCTGGTTCAATTCCATCATTGGTGGAGTTCAGAATGCTCTTTGATTGTAGGTGAACTATACATCCCAGTAA